TTAGAAACATCAATCAACTGAGAGATAGAAAGATTGTGTGTCATCTAAGCCCAAACCTCTGCCAATCAGAATATTATGTAATACATTTTTTATATTCCACCACCACCACATTTTGGAATCAGAAGCTAACCGATGATCATTAAAAGGGAACTTAATCAAACGAGGTTTTTCCAAATAGACCCAAAGATGAAGTCATGCGATCAAGCTTCACGAGAGAAGTGATGTGTTGGTGAGGAAGATAATGATTGGATATTTGCATAGTCACAATTGTGGAAAGTATGAAAGGCAGTAGATTAGTTATATAATTCTGCCATCCTTATTAAAACTGGTTATTGATTATTGGTTGCTGTTGGATTGTGTAAGATTGTTTTCGGTTATTGATGTGGAAATATATTTACATTCTAGTCAAGCTAATCATGTTTTCTTGATCTGAGTTGTATTGTAATCCGTTAGGGTTTTTAAACAAAGATGAATAGTGTCTAACAATGGAATCTAGTTTGACTCATGTTTCGTCCTATTTGGTACTGTGATGTGTGCTACTTATACTGATATAAGTAGTATATGACGCGAGTTAAAAGAATAATGTCTGTCATCAGAAGATGGGGTTAGATCAAGAAAGGAAGAGCGGGAACAAAATGCAATTTGTAAGAAAACGCATGAACAATGAAATGTGAGACAATGGATTAAGGTTTGCAACAGGAACAGTAGAGGTTGATATAATGGTAAACATAATGATAATTTGCAAATTAACTATTTGTTACATGGTTTTTCCATAACATCGACCAAGTAAGCGCTGAATACATTCGACCGTGAACACTAATGGCTTGATCACGACAGCATTAGACAGGAAGACAATGAATATAAGACATGTGAGTGGCTGTGAATCAGCCGACCTCTTTTTAACATGTGTCTCACATATTCTATCACCAGTCGTTTCACAGTTAACCGATATTGGAACAATATATATAAGCGAACAATATTGTTTTCTATCACACCTCATCAGGCTTTTATGATGCGTTCAGATTATTTCCAATGTATGGTGTAAAAGTGTGGAAAAGGGCGGTAAAACGTGATCTCAGACAATATTGTCACATTACATTTCACAGACAACTCTCACAACTTATCACGGAATTTTTATTGCTCCAATGCAGCTTCTAGAGTAACGTTCAAATATATTGTCTGAGATCCGCCTTTTCATTTTGTCTGAAAATTGAGGGAATCAACTTTGAAGTTCACTGCATAGTTAGTAGTTCTCTGTGTATAAATTGCAGTTACGAATGATAAGGCAGATTGCCTTCGTCAACCAATTTGCATCATCCGGGCTTGTGACCGGCAGTAGCCCCCAGAGGGGCTCCAGACCGAGTTGAGATCAAAGAACCATACATTAAATACTTTATTTGTAAGTCTTACATCTATTGTCCTTGATATCCATCATGATCCTTCCACTTTTCAACTTTAACTTGAAGAGTTTTCATATTCTATGAAAATGACGCTTCATGATGAAAATCGGAACTCCTATACGGTCATAATGGCGATACTCATTCGGACAACCAGAGAAGCAGTTACTTTAATTGAAGAGAATTTGCCGTTATGGTAGGAGACTGAGAAGGATATTTGGTTAACAGTTTAAATGGAAACATACAATCAGGCTGAGTGAAGCACTGAGTGAAGCTGATTGGGCACAGTCTGGACAAGAGAAGACAAACTTCAGAAGAATTGTTATTGTGTTCTGCTCATAAGCAAGAAACTGTTCTACATACACGAGAAGTTTTCCCCAATGTCTGCGACCAAGCACTATTAACACTTACGACATGGCAATCTCATGGAATCACAATCGTCAAATCATTCTTCTAAGCTGAGTGGAAGAGGATTACAATGGATGTAAAATTGTCTACAGGAAACGACCTGAACATTCTGAAATGTTCAAAATGGAGAATATCAGTTATGATGATATGTCATATGGCAATATGTAGTTCAAAAGAGGCACTAAACTGGTAGGCTAATTGCAGATGTATGTTCTTTCAAAGAACTGCCATGACAGAAACTGATCATTCACATCATCAATAACAATATCAACACGTACGTGAACATAATAGAAATCAATCGATAATAATCAATTATATAAGTAACATCAAGTATGCACCATCGATATATATTATTCAATTCACAAGTAACGAGTGAAAATCTGAGAAAGCCAATGTCATGAACACACTTTTGAACGGGTCAACCGATTTCATTCGTTCATTGAGTATTCGATTTCACTTGTAAATATCCATCTTAACAAGTATAACACATTTATAATATATAAACTGGACAAAATCATTTGGGTAAACAATGAAACAGTTAGGATAATTAATTTTTATTTAAAGTTTGAATATTCGCACTGATGTTCAGCTCGATATTTCACAAATCACTTTTCTAAAACATAAATACACATAAACATAAATGCATAATTTTGATTATTATTAAGGAAATTCGATGGCTCAAGTATTTCTATAGGATTCTGACGCGTGAACTTTCCATTGATTGTTTCCGTGACACATTTTCCTACATAACAGATATTTGCTAGAGAAATCCCACAGAAAATCGGTTGAGCCGTTCGAAATTTATGGTCAGACGTGTGTTGACGAAATTGGTTGTCTCAGGCATTTCTATAGGATGCTTCCGGGTCAAATTTTCTTTCATAAATTTTGAACGGATTAATATTTCTCAATGGGACGTTCTTCGTGTTACTTATCCAATTGAGTGCTATTGAATGATGTACAGGTGCATTGAGATTTGTGCTTGACGATTTACATTGGCTATTACTCGTCATGTAGTATCCCTATACTACCCCTAACTTTCGGTCTGAAAAGTCGGACAAATGAAAATCTCGTAAATGCGATGAAAATGATCTTGGAGGTCTTGTAATAGTAATCCGACAGTGGACAATAGGTTTTAAGCATTCTACAAGCCCTATCCCTTCAGGCTGAGCTATTTCGTTTACTACCCTACATATGTATGGTATGTTGTATAAGGTACATTGCTATGTAGAGCTGAAGGTTCCATATAACAATGACCATAAATGATGCCAAGTGACGTTTCGCTACTGAAATATTTTCTAATGTCCATCTCTGAATATAGTTCGTTGTCGGTTGATCTATATGAAATTTAAAGATAATTGATAGGATATATAGAACTTATCAACAAGATAGATTTACAACCTGGACAGAACCGATTCTCAGTATTGAAATCAAAATCACATCATTTTGTGTTAAACAAAGGACTAAATACTAAACACATATCATGTCTTCCTACTCACTCATTAGTCCAAATATAACGTATTCACTGAAAGATATGAAGGTTTTAAACATACAGAGAAATTATGATGGAAGATGGATGGTGGCTAGCATTGGAGTGCAGGAAGCACGATTTGTCTTATTTGGGACCGGTCGGCTAGATGTACCTGCATCGCAGATTTGATATTTTGAGTTCTGAAGATGTAGTGTGCAATTGTTATATTCTTTCATAATATCTACTGGCAGAAGGTTATGAAGATCGAAGACAAGAGAGCGAGAACAGAGTGATTAATATGGGAACGAAGGAACAACGAAATGTGAGACAACTGACGGACATTTTGCAAATTTAGGATTTACTGTATGGTTATCAGATATTACTAAGATATTCTGTAATATTGTCTTTGTTATCAGCACCATAACATACACTTGTACAGTAGTAGGTTGTGGGTTGTAAATTGAAATGAATAGTTACCAAGTGTATTTATGTTTATGTTGAAAAAATAAGACTGATGAAATGAAGAACTAAACCTCGGTGAGCGAATTCAAACAAGCAATACAAACGAATTATAACGATTGTTTCATTTTTTGTTTGACCAAAATAGTTTTCCCAGCCAACGCATAGCAATTTGTTATAAGTGTTCAGATAGGAATCATCAAGACATAATGAGTTTCCTGATTTTTATTGTCATGCTGCCAAACGAGTGTCATTAAGATAAATGAGCTCAATGACAAGCCAAGAACAAGACACTAAATTATACTTGATGAACGAATAACAAATGCCGTATATGCATGGTCAACACATATGTATAGACAGGCTGTACTGCTTGTCTAAATCAACATCCTTCGATCTCTATCAATAAAGTATTCATCCAAGATTAATATTTCACAGTAATTGAGAATAAATGAGAAACGATTTTGTGATATCGAAGCAAAGCTAGAGGTTATTGTCCTAAGTTAAAGACAATTTACAAGTATTATTACCAAGAACTGTCAAGAAATATAGAGTTCACTAACTATTCCTTTTACGAAATCTCCCAATATATGTAACCTCTTTCGACAAAACGGCAATTCTAATTAGTAGGGCTTCACACATAGAAGAGAGGTTTTTACAGCAGAGTTAAACTAGTCAGTCAGTGTTGAGAGTCGATGTAGGAAGAATAATAGAAATTAAAGATGGAGATTGATTATGAATACAGTGATCTTGAGTGCTGTTAGAGGTATGAAAAAAGTCATCACTTCTCGGTTACCCACACCGTGGAAGGGTTCTACTGATGTACCTGTAAACTAAATTTGTTTAGAGGCGATCTTAGTGACTTGAAAGCATAACTGCAGTGCCCAAGCACAGCTGCCTGGGTAATTTCCGTGTTAGATCCCTACTTGTTGAGACCTCACCGATGGAGACGGATATCCGTGGAATATGGTGAGGTGTGCACTTCTAGAGTCGTCCTTTTCTAACCCCACCCCTCCTTGTGGGAAGGTAGCATCGTTGTTATGCTGGTTGTCTGAAGGAAACACTTTATTACCATCACACCTCTATACAGTCTGTAGTACGACTTCGCCTTCGGATCTTGGGTTTTCTGCTTTTAGTCTTACCGGTCTTCAACCGATCTATCTGGTGTGATAGGTGTTATAATTCTCTCTTATTACAACCCAGCTATTCCTATTGCTTAATATTCTCGGACACCAAATCACTCGACAAGTCCCCAAATCAGAACACGGCCGAACAGGAAAGAGATTATATTCCAAATAACAAGGTTAGATAGAAGTAAGAAGCACAATAGGAAAACACGTTAGTATATTTATAGTTTTTACATGAGAAGATTTCTAGAGTATTCTCCAAGTATCGACTAGCGCTGACTGGCTAATTCTTATCCAATCAGCATGCGCTAAAGCAATCAAACATTGAGCATGCTTTAATCCAATCTATGTTCCAATAACAGTCGGACATTGAAGAATGATTGTTCCAGCCAGTATAGCTCGATTGATTCATTACAATAGGCAAACCCAATCACCATATCAAGGTAGTAACAATGGTTGAGAGAGTTAAACTAGGAAAGTTGTGTTAAACTCCAGTTCTCAAACTTATGATCTCAATATACTTGAACTAACTACAACAACAAAAAACGAGTGATGTTTGAATAAATATTAACTTTCATTAACAAACATCACAACATTGTACAATAAGTTGGATCTAATCGACTACTAAACCAACATGAAAATAAAAGACAAACACCTATTGATGTATTCTACATTCATAAGTACATATCACAATACAATATAAACTAATTAATGATATACATGAATAAATTTAGAGGTAGAATAAAGAGATAAAATTGTAAGAAGTAAAACTTTATACAACAGTGTAATGAATATTTAAAAGAAAAGAATTTACATTATCATGTTTAAACCCATTCTTTAGGATTTTTAAGCACCTCAATGAGAGATTGATTACGTGGATCCTGTGAATTGTCATAACAATAGTTCCATTGCTAAAATAACAATAATAATAATGATAATGTTAGGAATAAAGAAAAGGAAAACTTAGAATCAGTGAATGAAGAGAAAGAAAACATTCTTCAACGCTTTGAACAGTTATTTATTCCTTATTTTTTGGCCCCTAAATGCCCTGATACGGCCGAAAGTGGGGAGAGTTAGCTTTTGCTCTCGAAATCCTCTCAAACGGCAATGTGTATACAGCCACTGATAGGGAAGTCCTACTTACTGCTTTCTCGCTACTGGGTGATTTTTAAGAAATTTAGAGAATGAAAAGCGAATGTTCGGCTCTTAACCCGGGTCGGTGGATAAGGAGGATTCACTTGTGGGAGTTGGAAAATCCCCATTCCAAACTAATGATGCGCATGGGCTTCAGTATCCTAAGGAAACAAATGGCGTATGAACCAATCGCTGGTCACTGGCTATCATTGTACTGCATCTCCTGACATTGTTTTCCTGCCTTGTGTATTAGATTTTTAGGTCGAAGGCTCCGGGTATGGTCCCCCAAGAAAACTACCTGCTTCGGTCTGGGCACTCGGGCAGTATCAAAGCCCACACATAAGTCAAGTGACTTGTGTGGCGCATATCTAGTTAGTGCCTACTTGTACAACTGTTTGCGTTTAAATAAATAAAAAACAAAGTGCTCCTTATTTTAAAACTGTTCATCAACATACATATATGAATTACTACTCATCACAGAAATATGTTCAGGATATTTAGCTCACCTCACATTGAGGGTGATACACTTTTTAGGTCGAGTGGTTAGCAGCATTCCTAATTGTAGTCAATCTTGGAATGCATACTAGCTAGTGGTAAGTTTCAAACTAAAACATGTTTTGCTCCGTTTACGATACTAAGGGCAAGTTCAGAAACTTTGTTATTCCATACATTTGTTCATATGATCAACCGGTCACGGAAATATTCACATTTCAAACGTTCAGTCATAAATTAGTAATGAAAATTCTTATTTTAACTGTACATCATACATAATCACCATCAAACTGACAATGCTACCGGGCACCATCATGATTCTCAACTTGCTTTCTATTACGTCTCCTTGCTAGCTACTTAATTGGGAACAATGCTCCTGATGGATTTTCATCCAACCACTCGCAGCTACTGAGAACAGAGGAGAAAACCAAAGGTTTGTCCCCGCTTTAACCGATGATAATACGAATAAAAACGTGCAGATATTTATATAATTATATATAATGTAATTCGGAAAAGGCCATTTAGGATATGAGCCTCATAACATCTAATTCAACTATATGAGTGCATTTTAAACGCTAGAACTGCTCCATAATACTGTTAGTGTCCTCCTAGGACAATCGTCAAGAGACGACAGTTTGTGATGTACAAAGTAATATTGGAAGAGATATGTGGATTAGATGAGAACAAATAATAAATTCGATTGCCCTTAGACGTACTTCTTGATACCATTGAAATGAAGACAAACAAATTAAAAACCCGCTAGGAAATCACATCCGAGAACAGACATCTCTTATCACAAGGATGAAAAAAAGTGTCCAGTGAAACGTCTGTAACTCAATCCTCGAAAATTCCAGCATAATTAAATTCGAGAAACATATAAAAAACCTCATACTAAATCCCGATTAAAATAAATTGGTTAACAAGCGTCGACTGATTAACCAGTATCAACATATATCCCAGACTTATAAGAGCACAGTTACGTACCGAACTACTCAGCGATAACATGTTTGACTGAAACAGTGAGTGATGTGCGTAAGAAACTCGCTATACTGACGAGCGAAAAAAGTACCCAAACACCTGAAATTCTATATGATATCCATTAAATGTTATACGCACTACTACTTATCAGCAGAATGTGCCTGCTTACAAAACTTGTGTCATTCAACTTCCTAATAAAAGTAGACTTATCTTTCCTCTCAATGAGTAGTATACCGACAAGTAGAAAACTAACTATTCAACGTTAAACTAAATGTACCGTGATCTGGAGTCAGTGATCAAGCCTAATGATAACAAACGTCCAAATCACATAGAATAATTGACAACACAGAGAAAATAGTAAATTAACTCCCAACTTACAGCATAACGTGGTAAAGACATTAAAATACTTTCAATACGAGCTTCTGGAGTGGCTAGACCAAATTTAGTGCCACGATCATAGATTAAATTGAATTCAACATAACGTCCACGTCTTACCAACTGCCATTCACTGACAAATACAGGTAAAGAAAATATAAGGAACAATGAATAAATTTACTGGCAGAATGAATAACACACGCAAACATGTAATGAAATTAGATGATTCATTTATGATTGAATGAAGTGTATGAGACCATTGAATTACACACCGAATCAGTAATTATCAAAATAAAACTTGGCATATAACTGTATATCGGTTCAAGTTGTCATACCTCATTAGCATGACAAGAGGAACACAAAATTCATAGAAGTAGTCATTTCAATGGTGGCAATATATAAAAGACAGATTGCATATAAGGATATAGTACAGGAAGAGGGAATTAATTCATAGAAAGAAAGATATAAAATAATTTTAGTTCCACAATTTAAGAGAAAACAGAGAGTATATACACCTGCACCATTGTGATCGATTCTGAGCCATGACACCAAGAGTCTCCAACCACTGGTTACGATAGTCACGCGGACCACAAACAAATAGTCTGCATCTACCAACATGGCTCAGACCAGAACTTAGTAACTTCAAGCACTGATGTCCCGTTTTGGTTTGGCCGCCCCTAACTTTCTTCCAACCGTTCCCAACACTAGTTAGCATTGCACGTCGTGGTAATCGGTGTTCAGGCATACGCAACACAACGTGACCCAACCATCTCAGTCGATGAAGAGTTGCAGCCTCATCAACTAATATACCATCATCCCCTAATACTCTGCGCTTCTAGCTTCACTAATACTTACCCATTGATTCCAGCAGATGCGAGTGATATTTCTAAGGCATCTGTGGTCAAATATTTGTAGCTTACAAGTATCTTCTACTCTTAATAGCCACGTTTCGCATCCGTAAAATAGAACAGAACGAACAACCGCGCAGTATACTCGTCTCTTAACTGATAGACAGATATCTCGCCTTCGCCATAGGTGACGTAAGTTGGCAAAAGCCAAACAAGCTTTTAGAATTCGTGTCATATCAGCATAGGAGAAATGAAATTATGAATAAAAACAGATTATCAGAATGGGTTTTGTGGAGAGTTTAAGAAATTTCACAAGTTGAAATCATGAGTCAGTTGAAGCTAGACCACCATTGAAAACCTGGAAGCACTGGACGGCCGTTTCGTCCTGGTATGGGACGCCTCAGCAGTGCGCATCCACGATCCCGCACCACACGGGGCTCGAACCCAGGACCTACTGGCTTCGCGCGCGAGCACTTAACCACTAGACCACTGAGCCAGCATCCAACGGTGTTAATGTCTAACTTCAACCAATCCACGAAGTTGCGCCACCGTACAGATTAAATGTAAACAATAGGACTTGTGAATGATTTTAACCTGAATGAACATTAATTCATTATCTATTAGTAGTAAAGCTTCCATACGACATATGTACTCAACAACTTTACATCTATTTATCGCTTGAAAATAATAGTAAAAGTGAGTGTTAAATTACTGAGTTAAAAGTTTAGATTTGATATTATTTATTTTGGGTTTAACTAGTCATTTAGTCATATGTAGAGTAGAATCTAACACATGCGTATCAGTTTAAGTTATCCCACATCATGTTAGCACAGTAAGATAGAATGATTTCACTGCAAATCCCAGAATAGTAGAAGTGGCGACAGTATAAGTAACAGTAAAAAAAAGGGATTAGTTACAGAAAATGGAAAAAAAGTACAATAAGATTTATGAACTCGAATTCTAAAACAAAACAAGGAGTGAATAAACCCGCACTATTGCGGGTGATTCTGAGCCATAACACACAAATTCTCTAATTATGGGTTACCATAATCACATAGACATAAACCATTTAGTCTATACCTAATTATATGGCTTAGTTCAACAGTCAATGAATCCAAGTCTTGGTTTGGTCATCTTCAGTTTTCTTTAAAACTACTTACATTGGACATCACCCGTCAAGATAGGAAATAGTCTGGTATATGCAACACATGTCATCTCATTTGATGGACATTCACTACCTCATCAACCAATTCGTTAAATTTACCTAGTATCCTATGCATAAAACTGGTCCCAAAATACACGAGCAATACTTTGAAGACACTTACGACCGAATACTAGTAGTGTGAGAATATTCATAACTCTTAATGACCGTTTCCCATTCATAAAGTAGAACAAAATGTTCCAGAAATATCTGTTTAAATATGTTTTTGATTGAGATCATGAGTCGAGTGATGTTAGACCACTATGGAAAACCTGGAAGCACTCGATGGCTGTTTCGTCCTATTCTGGGACTCCTCAGCAGTGTGCATCCACAATCCCGCTCGCGGGATTCCAACCCACAATAGGACAAAATGGCTGTCCAGTACTTCCACGCTTTCAATGGTGGTCTAACACCAATCGGTTCATGATCTCAATCAAGAACTTAGTAATCTACACAACTATATATTGATAATTAAAATATGTATTAAACAAACCGAGTACTTAAAATGGTACTTGATAAATGAGCTACACTGTATATTACATAATTTCGTAAGAACTGATATATATAAACACATTTATGTAAAGAATATTTTCACTTGAAATAGTATGTTATAAGGAAGATTTACCGTTCTTTGTTAGTATACTCTAAATGCTTTCGTTTTTCAACAATCGGTAGGTAAGCTGGAATGATTGCTTCAGCACATGACTAGAAACAATAAAATTAAAAAGCATAGAGAAAGTGTTTTATTTACAATTAGTTTATTGTATAATTATAGTTATTTTTTCTAGTTAGCGCTTTTTTTAAAGAGGACACATATTGCATTGAGGAAAGCACGTAACTGGGTCACAAGGCATGCCCTCAACATGGAATCCTCAGGGTCAAAGGAAAGGAGGAAGACCAAAAAACACATTACGCCGAGAAATAAAGACAGATATGAGAAAAATGAACAATTGGATAGAACTAGAAAAGAAGGCTCAGGACAGTGTGGGTTGAAGAATGCTGAACGGCGGCCTATTCTCCACTGGGAGTAACAGACGTAAGTATTTATTGCATAATTTAATATGAAAATCTCTTTAAACACTTTCAATCACTGAAACAGCCGATAATTATTTTCATAGTGTTGAGGAGTCCCTAATATATCCTTCATCAAACACTTCAGCAACCTATAAAGCATCTTGAAGCATTTTATCCAGCTAGTGTTGAAAAGAAGTATCTCCAAAATATCTAGAAAACGAAAAATCATCTATCACAATTTTGATTAGATGATTAAGTATATCGTTACTATATTTGGTATGTTTCCAGAAAGTTCTAGAAGATCAAAATCTACATGTATTCTTATAAATACAGTCGGTTTTCCATACATGAACAAAACATGAAGCGAAGCTCATACGCTTTTTTCACTTTTCTTTGAGTGTATATATGGTCTGAGGTTATAGAAAGTTCGTAAAAACTGTTCAAATAACAGGAATAAGATTGCAAATCAACCGCAGACCCCGGTCGAGTAGAAAAATTAATGGTTACTAGAAATAAACACTAACATATCTGTTGCAATGAGAATTGAAGATATGACATGCATTGAAGACAATGACTTTTGTTACTATGCGATCAATGAAATATATTTATCCGGAATTATCAAATGTTATGACCTAAGAGTTGCTACAAACAAGATTCTTGTGTAATAGGCTCCTCCTCTTAAAGCTATTAACTGATGAAATCACATTAACCTATAGACACTTTCGCTGTGCACAGACCCAGAAACATGAGAAGTGATGAGGTTGCAAGTAGTTTCCTAAAAATGGGTTAATCTGTGATGATGACCTCATAGGTTACTTTGGTGAATCCATAAGAAAAAATCTCCTTACCGTAGGGAGACGGAGTCATATTGTAACGCTGTACGCCGTTATAAAATAACCCCTTGGATTCTTGGGATCTCAATATAAAAGATAACTTGTGAAAGAATTTCAAGAACTTGCGTCTAAATTTCATCGAATAGTTTCACGGTATTTGGGCGTCGAGTTGATGTGAGACATTAAAGAGGAAGAGGGTATTTGTAAAATCTCAGCCAATTAATTTGAATTAAATCAAACGTTTCGCCTGGCAATCTGGTCTAAGCTTTTTCAAGGAAATATAATCATACGTAAAAATTATCGAGTGAGCTTTCTCTAGTGAGCGTTATTTTGTTTCGCTTCGCTTTTTCGCACGGTTTTTCTTAATGTCTGTCTCGATTGACGACTGTATGAAATATAAGTATTCGAAATCCAGTCTCACATTTGACATACTTAATTCCGTTATTCAATAACGCGATTTAAATCGACGATTTTATACGAGGTTTGGTGGCATGTATATTTCGATAGCAAACATTCATCCTAATTGAGTCAGATACTGGGTCACTAAAGCGGTGAGTCCGTTGACAGCATCATCGTACGATCTAATTTGTCAAAATGAAGAACCTCAGAGAAAAACTAAACAGGAAATAAGTACAGTTTTGGTGTTTTCTTCTCAATTTTCAACTACCTCTTTGTTCAAAATATTGGGATGATGAGAGCAATCTATACATTAGTTAAGATGTGTCAACGATAGAAACTTACACTGAGATGGTGGAAAAGATTTGTAGTTCAGGTGGATGATTTTGATGGAGTTTCGTTCTCTGAGCTACATGGTTTGGTTATGGAGCTTTTATCGTTCTTTTGAATGACATCATCAGCACAAACTTCAGGTAGAAGTGAAGCGCTCAAATTTCTCCATATATCGCTCACAGTTTGTCCTGTAGACCTCGATGTTAACTGGTTCTTGTTGACCTTAAATCTACCATTGTTGTTGATATGTGTGGGTCGGCTTCCGATATACTTCAGTCTCCAATTTCCCTGTGTCGGTTCTGGGGATTCATACAGAAGATTTACAGTAGCAAACACCCAAGAGCTCACAAAATCAACTGCGTACAAACTGTTCAAGAGGGCAAGGACACAGTACAACACACTGGCAGCACGGAAGAATGAAGAGAAATACCTGAAGACTGTCTTTCAAAAGAACGGCTACCCAATCAACTTCATCAAAAAATACCAGCCGCACTCATCATCAGAAACAAAGTCAAGCACAGAAATCAACAAAAGTATCACCCATCCATACATAAAAGGCATATCAGAAACCGCAACGAGACTCCTGAAAACCTTCAGAATAGGTGTTGCGTACAAATCAACAAAATCACTACAGTCAATCCTATGCAAACCAAAGGACGAAATGACAAAAGACGAAAAATCAAACATCATCTACAAAATAAATTGTGCCAACTGCGAAAAACACTACTACGGACAAAGCAGATGCCCTCTTCATCTTCGCCTGCATGAACATTAATTAGCAGTCAAACGTCATGACATATCCTCGCTTACATCAATGCATATGGACAACTGCGGACACTCATTTGACTGGAAAAATGCGGAAATCTTGCATAAAGGAAATTCCATAAACACCAGAGAATTTTCAGAAGCTTGGCACTCAGGTCAACCAGCAATCAACAAGCACATTTAAATCGATCCAATTTATCAACCAATCAGGAAAAGTATGCACAAACATAGGACCAAAAGTCAAACTAATGGGAGATATAACCAAAACAAAATGTGAACAAAGACAGATTTAAGGTCAACAAGAACCAGTTAATACCGAGGTCTACAGGACAAGCTGTGAGCCATATATGGAGAAATTTGAACACTTCATATGTGTTGACCTTATTAATCATTCGCTTATCAATCTTGATTGTTTTTATATGAGCGTATATGTGTGTGCACATCATATCCCATGACTCATCGCATGTCTGTAGGTTATTTTTGTCTGCCTATAAATGTTGATTAACGCCTAACTAAAAATGAGTTGGCTTACCAGCCATCTCCACTCTGCGTCGCTTCTCTTCCTTCTATTCCATTCACCTCATATACAATATATATATATATATATATATATATATATATATATATTCAAAATCCCATTCTCGTTATTTGAGTTATTTAATTCTGTTATTGGATAACGTGATTTAAGTCGACGATTATATACAAGAATAGGCGATAACAAACATTCGTACGATCTAAATAGGAGTCAGATCCAAGGGCCATTAAAATGGAATAATGTTAGTTGAACAATCAAAAGGTATTGGACAACTATTCCGTTCTAGTATGGCGATCCTTAGCGGTTTACATTGATGCTATCAGTGGGGGTTGAAACCAGGACCCATCAATAATATTCGATGATTAGACAATACTGCAAAATGAATAAAGACAGACATGTAAGTCAGTGAAAGCTGGTTCAAAAGTCTAATGAGTGCACGCTAATCGTGAGATTTGAATGTTCTGGGTTCGATAACCAACGGAATCGTGGATCCTCACTAGTGAGAATTCACATACCATGACGAAACAATTGTTTAATGTTCTTAACTGTTGTACAATTGAAGCCATTTCATGATGTAAACTATAAAAACAGAGATTATGCTCAGGAAACTCTTTAAAAAAAGACACTCACTTTTACAAAACTGAATACTTTTTCTTGTGAAGTACCATCTAAATCGTCGAAAAATATTCCACCAACACCACGTGTCTCACCTGACAGGGTAAGAAAGAAGGAAGAACCAATAGTCTTTAAGATACATGTTAACACTTTTGTACTATTTTTTTCCTATGGGTTATTATTACCCTATTGGTTACCTATCAATTTAATAAACAACTTTATGCTCCTGTGTTAAAGATCTACTATGACTGACTGACTATGAACCATAAATAAAGACGTTTTGTATCCATAGTCACTTTTATTTAGCTTGAATAGTGAAGCCTTTCTTCTATTGAAGCTGTTTGGGTGTCGGATCATTGGGAAAAAGAGACATTCGTATGATTTACTATCTTGTTTTGCACATATAGAGGATATATCTGTTTTGATCTTTATAAAACACTTGTCCATTCTGTGTCTCAATTATTTCAAGCACAGGAGGGTTTCGTTAGAAGTTAAGCTACTCAGTCAATCGTAAGCAACGTAGAACATGAAACATTCCCATGCATCGGTTTAAGTCGTCACACCATATTAGTATAGGGATTCCGAGCCACGTCAAATACAAAATCTCTAACCATTTGTTATGATAATTGCGAGGATTATAACCAGGTAGTCTGTACGACTCCAACAATCAATGTATCCATGGATTGGTATCACGTCTTGGTTTGACCGGCTATAGATTCATTACAACCTACCCTTACATAAAAAACACCAAGTTTTGATGCAGGCAGTGGTTGGACATAGACATAACATATACCCAAACTCCTTAGTCAATGCAGATCCACAACTTTACCAGCCGATTTGCCATGTCTGCCTACTAGCCCGCATCTAACCTCAGCATTGATCGCCTAGTGATCCCAACATACAAGTGCAATGCCTCGTAGATATCTGAGTGAATACCAGTGACCTACCCTACCGTTGTTGCTACCTTGACGTGGTGGTCAGGCTTACCTATTGAGATGAAGCAACCGAGTTATACAAAGTAGAAATTTCGTTCCTCACGGTCCTACCATACCAGACCCAACCGAAGCTGCTACCTTGACGCGGTGATCGGGCTTGCCTATCGTGATGACCCAACCGAGCTATATTGGCTGGAATATATGTTCCTGTAGGTTCTACCATGCCAAGCAGGTCGATTGGAGAACGGTAAGACTAAAAGCAGCAACTCAAGGTCTGAGGGCGAAGTCGTACTGCTGACCGTAGAGGGGTGTGACAGCAGTAAGGTGTTCCCCTCGGACAACCAGCATCTGCAGCGACGATGCCTTCCCACAAGGAAGGGTGGGGTTAGAAAAGGTCGACCCTAAAAATGTCGCAGTTCACCTTACCTCACGGATTTCCGTCTCCGGCGGTAAGGCCCTTTGAAGAACGGAGCTAACACATTAAAAACCTTCCATGAAAAGACCATGCGCGACCGGTTTCAAGCAGTTGTCCCTTGGACTCTGCGGTCACGCTCCCAGGTCGTTAAGACCAACACTAACCCAATTTCATTTTCAGGTTCCTCAAGAAATACCCTTCCACGGTGTGGGCAGCCGGGAAGTGATATCAGCCTTCATACCCGTAACAGCACACGAGACCAAGTTGGTCACATTCAAATCCTTTCTACACCTCCTAATACCTCTTTTATCTCCATGACTAAACCTCCTCATGTCTCTTTATCATCTCGCACCGCTAGAGCAAACGATTCGAGTACGCGGAACATTATTCCTGGTCTCCTGAAACCACGCTCTAAACTACACGTAGGAGCTTTTAACGTCCGAACACTGTGCCAAATAGGACAACAGGCTTCCTTATCTAGGACTCTAGAATCCCGCACCATCGATGTGTGCTGCGTCTCCGAAACGCGCATACAGGATTTGAGTAGCATCATTCATTCGACCTCAAGATGCCAAAATAAAGAACCGACTCGATTCACATTTCGTGTATCTGGAAGCCCTGATTCTGCTTCTCGTGACCTTGCCGGCGTAGGTATAGCATTGGGTCCTAGGGCAGAACTAGCTCTCTTAGAGTGGATCCCAGTAGACAGTCGTTTGTGCGCTGTCCGACTGAACGGAACAGTAAGGATCCGGAAAGATAGGGACACTCGTCGTTGCCTCTTCATCGTCTCTGCCTATTCTCCCACTGACTGCAGCGCAGATGATGTAAAAGATGAGTTTTACAGAAAGCTCTCCGACGTTATCCGAAAAGCTAGGCGCTCGGATGTAGTAATAGTGACCAGTGACTTTAATGCTCAAGTAGGTAAACTAAGCGATAGGGAAAGACACCTGGGCGGATTTTATAGTGTGATGGCTCAAAGAACAGATAATGGCGACCGTCTGTTGCAGCTATGCTCAGATAACCGCTTCTTTCTGGCAAATACTAACTTTAGGCATAAGGAAAGACATCTTTTAACATGGCGACCCCCTAATTCGTCCCAACGTTGGACCCAAATACATCACATCGCTATCAGCCACCGATGGAGGGGCTCGATAGAAGACTGTCGCTCATTCTGGAGCACATGCTTAGATTCAGATCATGCTCTAGTACGAGCGCGTATCTGTCTGCGTCTTAGTGGACGTAGGAAAGACGCTGCAAGTAAACCTCTTAGGGGCCTACTTAATGATAGTCAAGCTAAGAGTATATTTCAGGAACAACTAGGAAAACAGTTAGGTAGCCATGTATGTGATGCCCACCCCGAGGCAGCATGGAATGATATCCGAAAAGCTGTGGAAACAGCAATGATATCTGTTAGTAAGGTAAACCACAAGGTTAGGGAGCAACACTGGATCTCAGCAGCATCTATCGCACTGATAGATGCTCGGAAACTCATTCCACCTGGCCCTGAACATAATGAAGAGCAGAGACAGCTTAAGCGCAAGCTGACAAGAAGTCTACGCAATGATCGTAAACAGTGGTGGGTAGTGAAAGCAAGAGAGATGGAAAAGACAGCAGCAATAGGTAATAGCAGACAATTGTTCAGATTTGTTAAGGAAACCGGTATTAGGAAACCGACTGTTAGCGAAACACACTCAGAGAAAGATGGACATACTATACATTCAAAATCCAGGAGAATTGATCGATGGGCAGAACACTTCAGGGATCAGTTCAACTGGCCTTCAGCCACACCTCGGTTTCCCAAGATCTCCAGTCAACCTGAATGGCAAGTTAATGTAGGTCCTCCGCCTCTTTACGAAGTTTAAAAAGCCATAGGAAATATGAAGCGAGGGAAAGCAGTAGATCCTGACAGGTTCACTCCTGAGATTTTTAAGGATGGTGGTTCAGTACTAGCCCCCAAATGCCCTGGTACGGCCGAGAGTGGGGAGAGTCTGCTCTCCCTCTCGAAATGCTCTTACATGACCACGCGTATACAGCTTCTGCCACAGAAGACCTACTCACTGCCTTCTCGTGGCGAGGGTGATGTTTACGAAATTGAGAGGACGAAAAATGAATGTCCGGCGCTTTAACCGGATCCCAAACCAATGGTGCACATGGGCTCCAGTATCCTGCGGGGAAAAAATGGCGTATGAACCAATTGTTGGTCACCGGCTTCCATGGGACTGCATCTCCCTACGATGCTCCACTGCCTTGTGGATCAGACCCTCAGGTCAAAGGCTCGGGGTGTGGCCCCCTAGGAAAACCACCTGCTTCGATCTGGGCACCCGAGCAGTATCACAGCCCTCACACATATCGAATGACATTTGTGTGGCGCATATGTATTTGGAGCCTCTTTGTACCAATATCTATGTGTTGAAATAAATAAATAAATCAGTATTAGCAGTGAGATTAACCGAGGTCTTAGGTAGAATTTGGGAACTGGACGTAATCCCATCTGACTGGTCTCAATCACTGATTGTGCCAGTTTATAAGAAAGGACAAAAGTCCTCTTGTGACAATCATAGAGGAATCAGTTTGACTAATATAGTGTCTAAAATATTAGCTTCAATAATACTTCGACGCCTAATCAAAGCTCGTGAAGAGCAGATTAGAGAAAACCAGGCCGGTTTTCGACCTAGACGTGGTTGTATAGATCAGATATTCACACTACGTCAGGTTCTAGAACACAGACACACATTCAGACGCCCCACAATCGTAGTATTTCTCGACCTTAAGGTGCCATTCGACTCTGTTGATCGTGAGGTTCTATGGCAGTGTTTGTCACTGAAAGGAGTACCAAAGAAGTACATTAACCTTATAAAGGCTCTCTACTCGAACACAACTGGTAGAGTGAGAGCTTATGGAGAACTGTCATCAGAATTGATTACATCAAGTGGTGTTCGTCAGGGCTGTCCACTCTCTCCATTCTTGTTCAACTTTGTTGTCGACGTACTTTTAGAGATAACACTCTCCTCATCTAAATTTCCAGGGGTTGAACTTCTACCGGGAGGTTCACTTGTTGACTTGGAATATGCTGATGACATAGTTCTATTTGGTGAAGACGCTGACAAAATGCAGAGTCTTCTGACCACTTTAAGCAACAATGCAAGCATGTTCGGGATGCGATTCTCTCCCTCGAAATGCAAAATGTTGCTTCAGGATTGGGTTACATCGACACCCGAACTAGTGATAGGGAGTGAAGTAATTGAGTGTGTCGACCGCTTCACTTATCTTGGAAGTCTCATCAGCCCTTGTGGTCTGGTGTGTGACGAAATCTCAGCACAGATACAGACGGCTCGACTAGCTTTTGCCAACTTGCGTCATTTATGGTGTAGGTGCGATATCCGTCTATCAACCAAAGGATGGGTTCACTGTGCAGCACGTCGTCCTGTCCTACTTTATGGCAGTGAAACGTGGCCGGTAAGAGTAGAGGATATTCGTAGGTTACTAGTATTCGATCATAGGTGTCTTCGAAACATTGCTCGTATATCCTGGGACCATCGAGTAAGTAACGCAGTTGTTAGGAAACGGATACTAGGTAAGGATGGTAAATCAATTGATGAAGTGATGAAACTTCATCAGTTGAGATGGCTGGGACACGTGTTACGTATGCCCAACGACCGACTGTCTCGACGTGCGATGTTCGGTGGTATAGGAGTAGGTTGGAAGAAAGCTAGGGGCGGCCAGACCAAAACATGGCACAAGTCCATGAAGTCACTGACAAGTGGATTGAGTCATATTGGTAGGTATGGACTATCTGGTTGGGGACCGCGAGATAATAGCAACCGATGGTTAGAGACCCTGAATGACATGGCTCAAAATCGTTTGCCATGGCGCATGTGCATACACTCTTTGTGTTCTCCCAAATTTTGATCTCCTTATTCCTCCTTGTCTCTTTTTTTCTCTTCTCAAATTTATTTCACTGAATTATACTCTTTAAGTAACATCTTCAAACACTAATCTTCCCGATAACTGCTTATACTCTTATTACCTCTACCACTACGGGATTTGAATTGACCACTGCATCTCTGTGCTAATGTGGTGTGGCAACTCGAACTGATGTACGTACGTACGAAGTTCTACGTTGTTACTGACTGACTGGCTGACCATACCAGACAGGTCGGTTGAAGACCGGTAAAACTAAAATCAGAAAACCCCAGATCCGAAGGCGAAGTCGTACTACTGACTGTACAGAAGTGTGATGGCAGTAAAGTGTTTCCTTCAGACAACCAGCATAACAGCAATGCTACCTCCTCGCACATCTTACCTTATCCCAGGGATATCCATCTCCGGCGGTAAGGTCTCAACAGGTGGGGAGCTAACACAAAAATTAGCCACAAAAAGTTCGTGTGTGACTAACCTCCAGCTGTTGTCCCTCGAGCTCTGCGGTCACGCTCTCAGGTCACTAAGATCACCTCTAAACCAATTTCTTTTTCAGTTACCTCTAGAAGAACCCTTCCACGGTATGGGCAACCGGGCAGTGATGACCTCTCTCATACCTTTGAGAGCACTCAAGATCACTGTATTCATAATCAATCTCCCTCTTTAATTCATATTATTCCTCCCACATCGACTTTCAACACCAAAATTCATCTTCTGGCTTCCTCCTCAAGTGTCACCATAGCCAACGAATCTAGTGCGCAAAACGCTATCCTAGGTCAAATGAAACCTCGCTACAGATTACACATTGGAGCCTATGTAAATCGCCAGAAGACCCCCTTGGCTAAAACTCGTACGGTTGATATATGTTGTGTCGCCGAAACACACATACACGGCCCTAGTGTATTCATTTGACTATTAAACACACAGATCTCAGTTCAGGTGTTGACGCAGACCAGTCCTGGAGCAACAACTTGCATTTAGAAGGGGGAAACTCATCATAAAAGTTCTGGCATCGTCGCTCAGTGCTATCAAAAGACTGCATTCAAGATCCGCCCGGTGGTCCAGTACTCTCCATTCTAGAAACATGCCCTGTCATGGATTCAAACTCCATTATCCCCGAAATGGCATGTACAGACAGTGACGTATCCAGCTCACAAGAAGATACCCTCGTCCTGCCAGAAAATATGTCATATGCATCAAATAATAATTAAGAACCTGGTGCACTTTTGTTGAACGCTGATTATCATAGTGATCCACTATCTACTAGTGAGGTTCTCCATAAATTTGGTCACAATATTTCAGAAAAATCAAACTTCGATCACCTCATATCAAGTATCGTTCAGCCTCACCACTCAGTCACTTCCAGTCGATCCTCTGTTCAGTGCGACAAATATGTCTTAAATAAATTCAAATCAATTGTGACTTTGGCATATGAGGATCCAACACTGTTTCGCAGGGGAGGATGGACCCGAAAATTTAAAATCCGGATATCAACTCCAGATCTTCAATAAAGGGGAGGTGTTGATGGTAATTTTTGGGATACATTTATGGACCAATATTATGATTATATTTTTATCATATAATTGTTATGTAACTAAACTGTTCATATTCATGTCCCTCTTATTGTGAGCTTTATTTTGACCTATGAACTATTATTATACTATTTGCCATTCATGAATTATTCCCTGTCTGTTAATCGCTACCTCCCTCATTCACAGCCACATCTGGCTAATTCTTGTAAAATGTTGTTTCATATTTTATTGGTACGTTGTGATCGGTTTGATTGGTATATAAAATCAGTATGCTTGAAATATAATGATTCATATCTCAGAGACTAAGACTTGCGTTCTGAACTCAACTGGCTGGGCTAGACAGGGAAGCAGGACTAATCAGGACTCTGTGTTATTCTTATGTGTTTACGCGTCTTTGGTCGGACCGATAAATACGCTTCGCTCTAATCTGCAGTCCACAAGACACAACACTAACTAAGACTCGTGAACTGCAAACACGAGGAAATTAGACTGGCTTCAGATCTAGTAGTGGTTGTATCGACCACATATTCAGTATTAGTCAGGTTTTAGAACGCAGGCATGCTCATCGGCGTCCGACAATGATATTTCTTGGTCTAAAAGCAGCATTTGACCCTGTACACCGAGAGGTTCTGTGGCAGTGAAGGGTGTACCTCAGAAGTACATAAACCTTGTGAAGGCTCATTACTCGAACACTACTAGTCCAGTCAGAGTTTATGGCGAACTGTTATTTGATTTTGCAACCTCAAGTGGTGTCCTTCAAGGCTGCCTATTATCTCCATTTTTGTTTAACTTCATCATAGACCTACTGCTGGAAATAACGCTCTCGTCGACTGAATTTTTGGACATTGATCTCCTATCAGGAGGTGCACCTATCGGCTTAGGATACGCAGATGATATAGTCCTGTTTAGTGAAGATGCTGATAAAATGCAGTCTTTTGGTAGCACTGAGCGACGATGCCAGAACTTTTATGATGCGTTTCTCCCCTTTTAAATGCAAGTTGTTGCTGCAGGACTGGTCTGCGTCAACACCTAATCGAGAATTATGGAGTGAAGTAGTCGGACGCGTTGACAACTTCATTTATCGTGAAAGTCTGATCAGCCCTAATGTGTTGGTGTCTGACGAAATCTCAGCACGGATTCGGAAAGCTCATTTGGTTTTTGCCAACTTACGTCACCTATGGCGAAGGCGAGATATCTGTCTATCAGTTAAGAGACGAGTATACTGCGCGGTTGTTCGTTCTGTTCTATTTCACGGATGCGAAACGTGGCTATTAAGAGTAGAAGATACTTGTAAGCTACAAATATTTGGCCACAGATGCCTTAGAAATATCACTCGCATCTGCTGGAATCAATGGGTAAGTAAGTATTAGTGAAGCTAGAAGCTCAGGGTATTAGGGAATGATGGTATATTAGTTGATGAGGTTGCAACTCTTCATCGACTGAGATGGTTGGGTCACGTTGTGTTGCGTATGCCTGAACACCGATTACCACGACGTGCAATGCTAACTGGTATTGGGAACGGTTGGAAGAAAGTTAGGGGCGGCCAAACCAAAACGTGACATCAGTGCTTGAAGTCACTAAGTTCTGGTTTGAGCCATGTTGGTAGATGCAGACTATTTGTTTGTGGTCCGCCTGATTTTCGTAACCAATGGTTGGAGAAGTCCAAAGAACACATTACTCCGAATAATGTAGACAGACATGAGAATGATGATCATGGCTCAGAATCGATCACAACGGTGTAGGTGTATACACTCACTGTTTTACTTTAAACTAAAAGATTAAAATCACTTCATATCTTCTTTTCTACGTACTAAATCTTTCTTCCTGTACTATATCCATATATTCAATCTTTGTTTTATATAATACCGTCATTGAAATGACTACTTCTATGAATTTTGTGTTCCTCTTGTCATGCTAATGAGGTATGGCAACTTGGACCGATGCATATATGTGCCTGGTACTACGTTGTAGCTGACTGACTAATGACCTACGAATATCCTTTATTTCTAAAGATCACATTTCCAAACTATAAATTAGAATAGCATGAACTATCGTGCAGTGTATTTGCTATTCGCTGGCAAGACAGACATTTCTCCTACACCATAAGTGACACAAGTTAAGAAACTCCAACCGACCTTCCTAAGTCTGTGTCGATACTTCATCAGACACCAACCATTCAAGGCTTAAGAGACTTTTAAGATAAGCGAAATGGTTAGTGTGCTAAACTACTAATTCACTCCTTATCATTGGTTTAGGCGTTGATACAGACCAGTCCTGAAGTAATACTAAAACCAAAATTCAATGTTGCACATTATCAGCTCTAAATAATTCTTAATGTTAGTGATGAGTCCTTATCATACTACTGATATGTTTGTAACAAGCATCAGTAAATATTTGCTTTAAAAAAAAATAACACTTACCTCGATGTGTCAGATAGAAATAATCATCACACCATTTTTTAAAACGGGGATAAAACGATTCGTTATGTTGATCACAAGCCAATTTTAATTGCTCATGAAAGTGTTTAGCATCTTCATTAAATAAGTAGTATGGAGTTAAATCTGCTCCGCCACCATACCACCAACATTTACGATTGTTACCCAAATCAACTTCGAAGTAACGAAAATTGAAGTGTGTTGTAGGGACATATGGATTAAGCTTGAAAATAGGAAAAAGTAGAACCATTGGTAAGAAGAGACATCGAATAGTGATACTTCTCAGCAGTGGACATCCGCGACCCCACAACCAGAAAATCAAACCAATCCAGGACCTTCGAACTCGCGCACGGATTCCGACTGATCCATGGTACTGAGAGATCAGCCTTCATTACTTATGGTGGATAAATTCTTAACATCCGATACGGTTAAACTCCAATGTTCATGAATTCTCAATAGAACTCCGGGAACTTTCTCTCGGAGGTAGCCACTAGCGGGCGATTGATAACTATCAATAAAAGGTTGTGGAGACTATTGAATCACATTGATATCACGAAACGATCTCAGAAAACGATTAAAAACCTAGACAGCCGCTTCGTCCTAGTGTGGAACTCCTAACTGTTGAGCACCCATAGTCCCATAGCCGGGAATCCAAACCAAGACTTATAGTCTAGTCCACAAACACCTGAAACGATCGTTCAGTGTTTTTCAAGTTCGCACTGACTCGTGGCATCAACAAAATCCAAGCCTATTGTTTCCTTGGGATTCTGTGGCCCATGTGCACCATTAGTTTGGAATGAGGGTTTTCCAACTTCTCTAGGTGGATCTTCCATATCCACCAACCCAGTTAAAGCGTTGGACATTCGCTTTTCGTCCTCTCAATTTAGTAAACAAAACCCCCGCCGCGAGAAGGCAGTGAGTAGAACTTCCGTGGCAGTGGTTGTATGTACGTGGCCATATGAGAGCATTTGGATAGAAAGAGTTGACTCTCCCCACTCTCGAACGTACTACGGCATTTGAGGGCAGTTTCAGCATAAGTAGAAACGGTGTCTGATACGGAAATTACTTTAATGCAAAAAGGAAAACGTTTTTCGAAAATAAACTTACTGGATGAATAACTGAACTGATACCACAAGCGAAAAATTTGCACTCTTTATTAGGATCAATTTCATTATGTCTATAGAAAAAAAGAGAAAAAGATTATGTTCACTAACAGTTTAATATACGTAAAACCGAAAAAATGAGATTTTCGATTTACTGGTTGGTGTTATTGAGACAGGTAATATTGGACAGCTATTGCATCACCGCGTTCGAAACTTCTTGATGGTATACACTGATAAACCTTCATCAGAGATCTAACTAAGAATCGTTAGATTTAGTGGTAAGCGTATTTAAATGTCTAAATCACTGAGATATGATTCAGTGGTACATTATCAACCTTAATCATACCACCAATTGATCATTATCGAAATGTAATTAATGATAACTGTCTCATTCATGATATCATTGAACTCTATCTATCATGACTTCTTATTACCAAAATATTGGTAATCTTGAAGTCAATTGCTATTACTCAACATATGATTACTGTTTATTTCTAAGTTTCATTCTATTTGAATGCGCATCAAAAAGTTGGCCCAAAACAAAGAAAAGATACAGCTGTTTACTACTCCATAGTTGTTGCTCATCTGAGACAAAAACTACCGTTGTATTGTAACTAATCAGAAAATTTGAACACCTAACCCTAAAAGTAAAATAAATTTATTTTCAACTTACAGATATAATCTACGCTATCTATTTGGAAACAAATTACATATATTAGGATGGAAAGAAAACTGTAATTAGGTATTCAAAAATTGCATTATAATAATAAGTGTTAGTCTGAACACATACACTGTATCCAATTACATGTAAATCATCTGGTTGAAGTAAATATGATTTTAGTGGTCTTATATAAACTCCAATTAGATCGTATGAATGATTGCTGTCGATAAATACATCCTGACTAACAACTTAATACGCGTTAGTGAATAACGGAATTAAATAAGTCAAATATGAGAATGGATTTCGAACACGTATATTTTGCACGATCGTTGATCGGAACAGACAATCAGAGAATTGCAGCGAACGAAGTGAAGAAAAGAGAGTCAAGTGAAACCAAAGGATGCGCAATGAAGAAGGCAAATGGGCCGACTCCATTTAACCAAGCGTGAATCAATATTTATAGTCACACAAAAATGAGTTACAGACATGTGATGAATGGAATAAAAAGGTCACACATATACGCTTACATAAAAACAGTCAAGATTGATAAATGAATAATTAACAAGGTCAAAACGTGACTCAACAAGAACGGATAAATTGACCTGTCCAGAAGCTATATGGGCTAAACATAGTAACCGACATTACATGACTATCGTAGCCAATTATACGAGACGTTGAACAACATATCTCAGAATCAGTCGCACAGCTTGGATGTACTCACTCTCTGACGTCAAAATACTCACACCTTTCATTGCACAAGTTGGTTGTTCTTCTCGAATCATATTATTATCACCGATACTACTACCACTTCTACTACTCTATTTGTCTTAATAATTTGATTACTCTTTGTTGATGCGATGTGGTAACTTGAAGCAATGCATATATATGTGGCAGGTTCAATGTCACTCATAACTAAATGGATACATTTAACATGCTTCTGTAAAAAGACGCATGAAATATAAGGGTATATGGATTTGAAAATGGGAGCATGTGATGCAGAAATAAATAAATTAATTAATCTGTAAAACCAGTGGAAAACATTCTTCCAGAGATTACTCTAAAAGAATGCGATATTATCATGGATAAGTATCTATAAAGTTAGTTAGCAGAATAAATAAGTTCATTCAATGATGAGAGTCGAGGATTTCATTTATAAAGGCAATAAGGCTTACCACTGCTACTGAGTCCGTTGTTAAATAAGCGTTCCAAATTAAAAATAAACAGAATTTTTCCTGAAGTTGGCTAAGCATTTACTTTAGTATTCTCCAAAGTTTGAGGTATGGAACAAAACTGTTCACTAGTACCTCCACCTCCGAAAATCAACAATAGCAATATGAAAGTCTGAAGTTTCACACATCAAACCAACCTAAGTTAAACAGCCATTGAAAGCCAGAAAACAATGGACGGATATTTTGTCTTCGCATGAAACTCTTCTGCAATGAGTACCCACAGCTCCAATAATGTTTGAACCCAAGCACTTTAGTCCTCGCGTCGACAGCCTAACCTTCAGATCACTGGTTTACCATCCAGTGGCTTACATTTCTAACTCTAACCAAATCGTGATATTTGAAGACATTCGTGCGTTGCCACTAGTGAAATCTATCTCACACCCAACATGTAGTTAAGCTCCCCTGACAACAGCTTTTCATTAGAATTGATGGCTGTTTAGCATTGCCAATTGAACGAAGTTAGAAAATGCAAGCCACTGGATGCTAGCTAAGTGATCTAAAGGTTACATGCACTTGGTGCGATGTTTGAAGGTTTTGAACGTCTCATCTCTGATAAAATTCTGGATGTATACAACTAAGTCTCCCCCATAAGAACGAAGTAGTCGCTCAATATTTCCTAGTCTTCAGTGGTTATCTGATCACAATCAAATTCAACATTCTCCACAATACCGTATAGTAATTATTATGAAATCACAGAATATAAAAAGCAACTTTTACATTTGACAAATAAAAAACAAGAGAATCCTGTTAAAATAATACAATTAGAAAGAATTATGAAAAAGAGATCAGACAAACAAACAGCTAACCTTGCACGCATTTCTTTCACAGCTTGAGCGCTAAGGTTCCCACTTATCACACTGATGTTTACACCAGCCTTTTCAAAAACATCACCATTCTCTAGAACACATGAAATTCCGCCACCACCCTATTTACGAAAAAAAATTTACATATATGTAGAGAGAGGGGATACAAAGGATGTTTGCAATTGTACTAAAAATACTGACAGATAGATATGCTGAACTTTGAAAACTCATATAAGGGTCTGTAAAATCTCGGCGATACTATAAGGTTGACCAACTTAAAGTAAGTGGATTATGGTTTTAAACTTGTAACACTGGTCAAAAATGTCGATCAATTGATTGGTTTAATCATGCATCTTAAACTTATCCCATGTATACACATACCTCTCTCTAGCCTTTTGAAGAGAGAAAGAACAAAGATTTAAGTGGAATAACATGATTCTATTTTATTTTGTTCGGTTCTTGTTAGCTGCTTACAACAACTTTCAATATTGGAAAATCTTAACTACAAAATGAGTTGAAACTGTTTACATAAATGTGTTTAGTTGGAAGAAGTGCTAAACACACATCAATATAGAGTATAGTAAGAATGTGAGGAAATTCAATAAATTCATATCTTACTTGGAAGAACATATGTTCCTCCATATCTCCATCCAGTTTAAAAAAGCAGGTATTTGGAAGAATAATTTTTTCTATATGTTCTCATCACCTATGATTAAAATCTAAATTAACGTCCTGATGAGGATAGCCAAGTTTAAGGCAAATACATAATTTAAAATGAACGTTTATGAAAGTTTGGATTGTTGGTGAAAATAAAATAGAATTGTTATCATTGTGTTATAATCTTTTTCTTACGGTTATGACCCAGCTATTCCTATTGCTTAGTATTCTCGGACACCGATTCACTCGACAAGTCCCCAAATCAGAACACGGTTGAACAGGAAAGAGATTATATTTCCAAATAACAAGGTTAGATGGAAGCAAGATACCAGTAAGAAGCACAATAGGGAAAAACGTCAGCATATTTATAGTTTTTTACATGAGAAGATTCTAGAGTATTCTCCAACTATCAACTAGTGCTGATTGGATATGAATTAGCCAATCAGCGTGCACCAAAACGATCGTGCGTTGAGCACGTTTTAATCCAGTCTATGTCCCATTAACAAATTGAAATAACTAGTACGTCAATGCTGAAATGACTAATGTGTAATGTTAAACTAGGTTATATGTTCATTGTACTCGTGAGATTAACAATACAAGTAGATATAAATAACACTGAGAAGCAACAATATAACTATAAATCAGAATGAATATTGACCATAAATTTCGTAATATATAGAATCATATGAATTGGGTGAGAGATAATAACTTGGAGTGGGGTGCTAATTCAGACTGGAAAGAAGGACACCTGATCAAGGTACCAAAAAAAGAGATCTGAGCAAGCGTGAGAACTACAGAGGCATCACTATCCAATCGCTAACTCAATTTTTCAAACGCTTAACAGAGTCATGATCATAATAATATATGTGAATAGAATATGTTTAGAGCATGGAAATGTAGAAAGAGAAAGGCTGTACGTAGACTAATCAAATATCACTATTTCAATAAAATGACTAGTAAGTTATTGGGCTTGAAGTCGTCCAAGACGAGGGGTCAGACATATTTTTTCTAAACTCAAAGCTTAGGCTTTTTAGCCTGAATAGCTATTGCTTCGATGGTGTGTACAATTCCTAGTCTGGCGGATTCAAGCAGATAACTATCAACACCGTAAATGACTGATCGGTGTTGGCTGTATGGCCCGTTTGTACAAAATGTTAACTATACCCCTGCTTAACAACGAAGGGGTGTTGACGAGCACGAAAGTACAAATTCATGAAACATTTATCAATATAACTTGCTCCACAAGAGTAAATAAGTTGATAGACACAGGAAAAGCTGGTTAGTCCAGGTAATTTACTTTTTTAATTTCGGAGTAAACATAGAACGTGTAGAAAACACTAATTGTAGTTTACCAGCATTGAATGTTTTAAATTGTTCTGCGCAATTTTAACATTAACATTTCTTTGAGTGCATACCATAAACAACATAAACGGGGACATTTTACTTACCGTTAGGACTAAATCCTTACTTATAAATTTCTCCCAAAACCTGTTTTCCTTTAGGGCGTTACACAGTACTGTTGTTCACTCTACAACAATGAAATGCACCAATCACATTTCGCTTATATTGTAGAGAAACGAAACTAGCAAAACTTGATTACTCCTCCATCCAAGTAGTTCTCTTGTTCAAGTTCCTTTATAATTACCCATTTACTCTCTCTCTCTCTCTCTCTGTAAGTAGGACATCTAAAAGGGTTATTATGCACCTATTTTTTTCCACATGTAAATTTAGGAAGAGGGTGAACTTCATCAAATTTTTGAATACCTACCAGGTCAGTATAGTCTTTACAAAGGATCAACAGAGAACTGACATTTCGGCAGAAAATGTTCCAGTGAACCATTCTCTAGCTTATCTAGAAAAAAGTCAGCTAATATGAGACACCATCATGAAACTATTGCGACACCTATTTGTCTACATATTTTCCAGTTGATTATGAATTTCACATTCATGGTGTATTTTAATGATTTCTTCTATAATGTGCACTTGAATCACAGTTTCTGCTTTGTGTTCTGTATTCACCTGACATAATTTATGAGTTGAGTTTGAAAATCTCAGAGGTTAATCAACAGTTATAAACTTAACTATATTTGTAAACAAGTGGAACGTCGGATTAGCAGTATAAAGCACTGGGTTTTGAATACTTGATTACAGACACTTATTCGATTCTATTCAGTTTGGTCTAGGCGATGAGTTGGTTGGTATTACTAGCTTACACAGGTACAGAAAAGTGAGACTCAAAAACGAAGTGCATGGATCTTCACCGACTGACGATTGTATATTGAACTCCGGTTTGCCACATAAGGGTGTGGAAATCTCACTCAATTAGTCTTAGGTTAGAAATGGTTCTCCGCCTATTACGGTTTGAAAAACCGGTGGATGTCAAACTTAAGTTCTCATGCCTTTACCCGGTAAATAAGTTGGATATAAACTAAGTTTGAAAATGGAAAACGGAATATCATAACTTACAGCACGACGCTCCCATTTGTCCACTCTAAACTTGGCCTTCTTATCAATCTTCTCAATTTCCTTACACAAGCGACCCTTGAATAAAGAATAAGCAGACAAGTATACAAAACTCAAGGGAGGAGCAGTTAAAAACAGATTAGAAGAGAATTAGAAATAAACAATTAAACGAAGCACGACTAAATGAACACATTTTTTTCAGAAATGTAACTGTATCCAAGTCCAAACGTTCTACTACCGACTAATCCAACAAAAGAGATTGTAACAATAAGGTGTTTTAATAAAATTAAAAGACATGAATATAGGAGATTTATGGGTTACCGAAATTTACAATAGATTGAGAACATATTTTAGATTACTGATAATGATGTGAATAACGTTTACATACAAAAGAATTAAAGCACTAGTCATCACCAATCATAATTTAAACTTTTTAGTTTTTATTACAATGACAATGCTGAAAACTAAATCTATGTAAGGTCAAAACTTAAACAGGCAACAAAAGAAAAGTAAATAATTCATGCATATGTCTAAATAACCCTAGCAATTTGTCTGTGTTATCTAAAAGATTAAAAAAAGAATAAATAAAACGTTTAGTACAGAACTAACTACCAAAACATAAAAATCAGTCTGTATGAGTAACTGCATGTTACACGTTATGAAATTCAGTCACGTAGAACTATCTTTTTGTGAACTGAGTTCATTGATCTGTAATTATCCAACTGTGTAACAGACATTAGCTCAATTTTTAGTTAGTAAATAATGCACAATGGCAATTAAAACCCAAACTAATCAAAACTTCAAGTAGATAATACATAACTTTTATAAATTTACATAGTGCCATCAAAAAATAGTAGACAGACAGGAAGTCATCACTTATTTCGATAATCATTTTTAATAGTGATTCTTTTCAACATCTTAAGCTTATACAGACCTTCTTAGTCAACAGTCAGCACAATTTGCTTTAAACGTTTAAAATGAGTATGATCGACCAAATAACTATTTGGCGATATTGAAATGTCAACTTCTGAAACAGAATCTGCGTCAAAACAGCCATGTTAACTTTGGGTAATGAACTTCCAGTCACACGAATAATTGTTTGGGATTATCGATATCGATCAACTAGGTCTATTGCGAAGGATTTTATCAAAACAAAAAACAGAATAACTGGATATGAAGAAGAGTTAAAAACGACGAGTGCACACTAGCGTTTCATAAATATATTGCTACACACCAACGTGACACTCTCCAAATATTTAGGGGATATAATTACAAATTTACACGGTGAGACTATAATTTATGGACAACCTTTGAGCGACGCTGATGTGAACTAGAGTGGATGCCTACTGAATAGGACTAAATGAGTTATAAAGCAGTTAGAATTCTCATTTACAGTTGATGGTTAGGGCTAAAAACTAGATTTAGGGTTTTCATCAAGAACTGACACCAGATATAATGCCAAAACTTTATTTAGCCAAATGTACAGATGAATTTCGCGCTAAAAATCGAGACTCATTATCTTATATCTGATTGGTTCGTCCAGGTAGGGTACTGAACGCCACACATTGATAAACTTACAACGATACAGTATAAAACATTGCATATTTAAAAGATAATCTTACCTGGAGTTCCATGCACAACACTTCCATTTTTGAGCGATAACATTCATCACCTGACTGCAGAAATATTCAACACTTTATAGAAGTCTACCTGTAACTTGTCGACTGCAGAAACAGGCAAGCACATCCAGTTATTTAGATTTATTTCAGGAAACTTGGTAACAAATGGTACACTGGCGCAGGAAACGGAGAAGGATTTATTACTTAGGCCCACAATGCTGGTGTCAGCAAGAGCCCATCGACCTCCAACCAAAAAAGCAGAAGCACTACAAACAAAAAGGATGTTATGAACAATAAAATGTACCCTAGTGCATAAACACAACATTTAAAGTACCGTTGGGTTTTGAAACGATACAGAAACGACACACGCATATTCGCAACGCGAATTTCAAACGAAGCGGATTCGTAGCTTAGTGAATAATTGTTTCATAACTCTTTATGTCCAAAATAAATAACGGGCGAAAAATCGAGTACTAAGTGATAGGTATATAATATTTATGACGAAGGTAATATTATCACGAGTAAAGTGTTAGTGTAAAAATACGACATATCTCATGTGAGGGAATTGAGAAACAAAATGTCGTCTTTTCTTTGGTATTCCTTGGTTTCGAAAAGCGGAATTGGTGGCTGTTTTTATTTGCCATAGTGATCCTTAAGGAGCTTAGGTGGTGGACTGTGGTAGCGTAAACCAAAAAATTACCCTAGGTCGCCGTTAACTCTAAAGGAAAGAACAAAGAAAATGATTAACATTAACCTATCGAGTGAATAATTTTTGGTATTACTCGCATTTTCCTTCATTTCCGCTACTTTGCGCACTCACTGTCTACAAAACTGCTGTTTAAACTTTGAAAATAACATCATTATTGAAAGTCTGTTTTCTGCTTGATTGTCATTAATTATCAATCGCAATCTCATCACGGCATCTAGACTGCTTGTTCACATCTAATAGGCTGTAACGTTGACTGATCACTAGTACAATTGTTATACACGTTTAATGATAACAGTTGATTCCTCGTTACTGAGTTATTACTGATAGAATGTATTTTGGATTTTATACCCTATATGAAATCATTGATTACTGATTAAAATTGCTGATTCCGCGATCGAAACAGCGAACGCCCTACACTTAACAACAAAATTACCGTCCAAAGTATCCATCTGTCTATTGAGATTTTGTATGTTATTGACTGAATATAAATTTTCTCAGCGACATTTCCAGAACCTCGGAATTAACATGTAGCGGTATATAAATCCCCAATATCACCTAACCTCACCGGATCACCGTGCTACACAGCCATTGCAACTATTAACCAGCTTCTTCATACATCGATGGCTTTCCAATTATACCTTCTAACCTTTTCATTACTGACCTCTGGTCTGACTGAATTGGTATATTTCGATTATAAGAGTGTTACTTGTAAAAAAGTTGTCGAAATCCGAATACCTGTGACGTCTTTCAGCATTTATTGTCTGCTGCATGAATACCTCGTTAGAATTTTCTGACCATTTGGCATTTGGGGCTTCTGACCAGCTCATCTTTTATCCATCTCTCAGCTGACAATTAATTATGCATGCATGTATAGTCATAGTTTGGAGTGTTGCTATGAAAGCCACAATTAAGTGAAAAGGCTTTTTGTGGGTCATTGGCAGTTTTGCACATTATCGTTAGCCAAACAAGACATTAAATGACAGTGTTTTCATTTTTTGTGTTCGTCAGGCTATGCTACGTTACTGCTATTCTCAAACGATAACACACTGCATCCTACTAACGTACATGTCATATCCATCTCCGCAATTTTTGTTGGTTATAACTGTAAATATTAGTTTTGTATATATGTATATATCATATTTTTACATTTTTTTGTTATTATAACCAGAGTTACCTACGGACACTCTGGAGAGAGCTATGTAGAGATAGGTCTGGCGAGCTTATTTTGTAAATAGTTTTTAATATTATTCGTATTTATTTTGTCGATCTTTCACTGTATGTATATTTATCATTTAATGACTGTAACTGTTGTTTTAGTAAATGACTTTGAACTCATTTTCCGTTGTATACCATACATAGCGTGACAAACTTTTTGTTGTTCTCAAATGCACTGCTACACACACTCCTTGTCCTACTCTCACCCGTTATTAAGCTAATTGCATCCTAAATCGAATATTATCCACATTTATAGACTGTGAGCTGAGACATATCGCACAAAACAGTGGGTTACATTATTGGAGAGCTCAACAACCGGTACGGAATTATCGAATATTTATAATTATGAATATACAATACCAGACCCAATCAGAACACGCAACACTTGGTGAATTTAAGTAAAGTACATATTTTTATGTCGCATTAATAATTACTAACATTATTATTTACTCTTTATAACTTGGTTAACACTTTCTCGCGTTCCTATCTGTCTGGTCTAACACAGGCTAACCAAATATCAATATGTATAAGTCATATATACATAGTGAATATAAAACGATTCTGAGAAGTCAGTTAATGTGTAATATTAAGAATAATATTTATTTAGAAAGAAAAAAGAGAGAGAAAAGAAATTGACACCTATTGAAAGGGTTAAACCATGACAACAATAATAATAGTGTAATGAATATCGACCTTTGAAGTAAACTAAAAACTAAAACTAAAATGAAATAAGATTCAAAAAATTATTTACTGCGCTCGAATAAGTACATGTAGACTTATGTAATGGTATACAGAGTGAAACCGGATATTAGTATTAAGAATGTTGCTATGAAAGTCACAAATAATTGCAAAGGATAATCAAATATAAATTTCCATGTGCTATATATATATATTTGTGGTGATGAGAAAATGAATCTGAGAAGTTAATTTATTTGAGTGCGCCATGAGACAATTTGTTTTTATTTGTAGACTTTGGTTGTTTAGGAATAATATATGTTTAGAAGGATAAGAAGAAATGAAAATAATATCTAATGTGTCGACGGACAAATAATGATATTAAAAACAGTAATAATTATGAGTACGAACATAAGTAGGCTTCATATATTAAGATAAATAGAAACAAAATAAAATAGGCATGAAAAGTTTCAAAGGTCACATTTTGCTTCTCAGTCAATTAGATGGATTACGGACTTGTTTGTATAAAGCATTATTAAACACATTGGTATTCAATGGATGACACAATTCGCTTTTGGAAGGAAAATCATCAAGGGGAGTTCTGAACCGGGTTGTAGTTTCACTGCAACGGAGTTTCACCGTCAGTCCGTTTTTCATGATTGAGAAGCGAATAACGAAAAAACTCTGGCGTACGTTTGTGTAGGTCTTTTGAATCGCTAGAATATTTCCCTTACTACGTAGATTGCAGGGAGATATCGTAGAGTATGAAGAGGTTCATACCGACGAGTAGGAAATACCGCTAATAAGTCGGTAGATAAAAACAAGGTTTGATTTGATACGCCTGGTCCAGAGAGGTTCTAAGTTGAGTTATTGACATCCTCGGCGATAGGTTTTGTTGTCGAAATACCTCAAAACAGCTTTGGTGAACTTTCTTTGAACACCTTCAATTGTAATCAGGTCATTCTGCCTACAATTACTGTAAACTAAAATACCATATTAAAGAATGTGTAAGATACGTTTTCTGTATAATAATAATCTCGATTCGATATTATTGAACTTTATCATTATGAATCCCATGAGCTTTCTAGATTTGAACAATTGAGATGCAATGTGCTCGAACAAGTTCAGACTGTTGCTATATCTTAAACTTATGTCACGAACATTGTTGAGAAGTTTTTGTGTATTTTTGTTACATTCACAGGTTTAGAGTGGCAAGATCCAAAGAGAACGATTTAGCTACGTTCTTTTAAAAAAGACTTGAGCTAAGATAAAAAAGGATTCTGTATGCCAAGAAGTTTGCGTGCGACACTGTCGAGAGCCTTACTAAAATCGAAGTAAAGAATTATCACTGACTGACCAACATCCCCTCTCTAGGTAATTTGATCAAAAAATTTCAGGTGTGATGTGAAGCATGAGCGTTTAGTCATAAACCCGTGTTGGGATGGGCTAATCATACTAGGCTAAAGGAAAAATGATAATATTTGTTTGTGGATGTTATTTCTATGGTTCTTGATAGCATGGATGTCAAACTGATTGGCCTACAGTTAAAAATATCACTACATGATCCTGTTTTCAATCTAGGGGTGATAAGAGATGTTTTCCATACAGATGGATAGGTCCCATATTCCATAGATAGAATGAAAAGTTTCAAACAAAATGGTGGAAAATCTCTACTACCATGTTCCACAAAGGAAGAAAGGATCACGTCAGGTCCACAATCATAAGACTTTTTCAGGGCATCTATGGTCTGCTTGATGTTGGAGGGTATTACATCAATTTTTGACAGGTGTTTGGATGTCAGGACTCCACCTGGAGTCCCCCCGGAGGTTGCCGCTGTTCCTAAGCCCGAACAAAGGAAGTGGATTGGGCATGGGATTAGTGACTCCATCCCGTGGAAGAATAACTCGCTAAAAACCCTTACCAGAAAAAATTATTCAAACATTTTAAACTCTGCCCTGCGATTCAGAAGGTCTTCATTTAGAAGAGTTATAGCGCTTCATGATGAAAGCCGAGTCCCTTCGGAATTTACGAGGCCGATGTCATTTCTGACGACAAGAGTAACCATTTATTTAGGTACGTGGAATGCTCATACAATGTGGGAGACTGGGAGAGTCTTCCAAATTGCTGCGGAAATGAGGAGATACAATTGGACGCAAGTTGGACAACAACGACTAGCTTCAAGGGAGCTTCTGTTATACTCCGGCCATGAAAAAGAAAATGCCTCACATACAAAAGGAGTTGCATTGATGCTGTCCAAACAAGCGCAAAATGCACTTATAGGATGAGAATCTCATGGACTAAGGGTCATCAGAGCCTCACTCAAAACAAAGAAAAAGGGCATTCAAATGAACGTCATCAAATGTCATGTGTCTACCAACGACTACAATGAAGACGACAAAGATCTATTCAACGATAGGCTGCAGTCAATAGTCGAAAATTGCCCAACCAATGATCTGAACATTTGATAAGTCTTGCGGATTCGAACGCTGTAATCGTCTCTTAAACAATTCTGTAACCCCCAAGCTAGAACTAGAAAGCGACCTGAACACTAGAGAGAAAACTCAAAATATGCGAGAAGAAGTTTACTCCAAGGGTCATTTTAATACAGAAAAATTAGGGTTTTTATAATATTTTAAATATCTTTGAGTCGCTGGAATATTCTGGAATGCTACTAAACATAGTAGCAGTGTAGCAGCCTCTGCATGTGAAGTTTCGCTCCCTTGATATTTCTGGCCAAGACTCCGAGTGAGCGCTGATTGAACAAAACGCTTCTTAGTGTTTCCTGATGCTTGCTAGTCTTTTGCAAGCAGTTTT